GTTTTTCTGTCTCTCGTAGGCTGTTCTCAAGCTGATGAGAATATGTTTTTGCCAAAGCTGTTGTTTAATCCCAAAGGAAACTTCCAGCATGTTTCAGCACAACTGGATGAGCTTTCAAGCAGCAAAGATGAAAGACAGTTTGATTACAGCGAGGCCGAAGAGCCAGCTGTGAAGGACTGTGGGAAAGAAATTAAAGGCCTAAAGTTAAAACATGAACAAAGCGATGGCATGGCATCTTCATACTGCTCAGGTATGCAAGCACTGACGCCTTTGAGAATAACTGTTTTCCATTGAATTTCCACATTCTTATGAGTCCTCATTATCTTCCCATTTTCAGATTTAAATTGTGCACCTTTGCAGCTGCAGACCTGCTCTCTGTGTCCCTACTCTGACAGCCATGTGTCAGGACTTCTCAGGCACATCAGAGAAGAGCATCTGATCCAGGAATCTAATCCCATCACAGATCCTGGGAAAGACTGCGTCTTTCAGAGAGTCAAAGATCAAACGTTCACTCCTAAGATGAGGAGGATAACGGACACTTGTGAGTATTGTGGGAAGGTCTTAAAGGATGTATCAGCCCTAACCAGCCACATTAAAACACACACTCTTCCATTCCACTGTGACAAGTGTGACAAGAAGTACTCCTCCAAGTGGTCGCTGACAGTGCACCGTCGGATTCACACAGGCGAGACTCCATATCTGTGTTCGTACTGCGGTCAAGGCTTTAGGTCTTCAAATATCCTTGCTCTGCACGTCCGTATACACACAGGAGACCGCCGATACAAATGTCCCATATGCGGAAAAACATCAATCCAGCATCTGTCGAGACACATGCGCATGCACCGAGGGGAAAAGAACTATCTGTGTACAGAGTGCGGGAAGGCTTTTCTGTCCTCTGGGGAGCTGAGGCTTCACATGAGGTTTCACACAGGCGAACGGCCATACACGTGCAAACACTGCGGGAAAGGCTTCATCGCAAAGTGCCTGCTGACCGTTCACACCCGCCAGCACACGGGGGAGAGTCCTTATAGGTGCTCGCTGTGTCCGAAGTCCTTCCGCACTTTGAGAGCACAGAAAAGACACCTGGTGATACACTCGAGCAAAAAGTCTTTCCAGTGTTTGAAGTGTGGTAAAATATTCCGGCAAGAGGAAACTTTCAAAACACATGCTGAGACTCACAAATGATTTAAAGGGGACCTATTATGCTACCACTTATTTTCTGTCCAAATTTTCAAGTTGTGAGGTCAGCGTTCAAACAGACAAAGAAGCCAAAACCTCAGGCTTTAGACTGCTATAAATGCTTGGCTTGCGCCAATGGGGTTTTTTTCCTCTCTTGGATCTTTATGATGTCATTTAGAGCAAACCCACAAGGGGCAAACAGTCAGAGGAGCCAACAGAGAGCTAACAGTGACTAAACTAAGAGGCTGCACAGAGATATATAACGTATATTTTCAACTACAAGTCATTCAAAGCTGCTCTAACAGTATCTGTGATAAAAAAAAAAAAAAAAAAAAGGGAGCTTAAAATGAGCATAATAGGTCTCCTTTAAAAAAAATGGCAGTGTAAAATATTTTAGTTTCAGCAGTTGAGTTTAAAAGTTCTCATTCACGAGTTTAAAAGTTCTCATTCACTTATTGTAACTCCACTATTGCTTAAAGAACCAGCTTAATTGCTGGAAAAGATGTAACTCTGTGTTTCTTTCGGCAACTTCTGTAATACCGAGGGCACATTTTGTGTCTCCTCCTGGTCTCAAACTGGGGATCTGTTGGGTTTTAGGCAAATGTTTTTGAAAACTATGTAAAGCTAATATCCCATAAACAGTCCGGTTAGCACACAGGTAACTTTAAAAGTTTGTGTGAGCTACAAACTGAAGTTATTTGTTAATGAATAAAAGCTGTTGCTACTTTGAGTAAAAATCAAATAACAAAAGTTTAAATGTCAATTGTATTTGGGTTCATAAGTGTATAGTTATCAGAAGGTAAGTTCAGCCAAATTATAAGAACAAAATCTCTAAATAGTCAACTATCTAAATATCTAATATCTAAGATGTTCTTGATCTCTGGTTCAACGTCTGATCCGCTGCTTCTCTTTGTCTCATCAACACAATGTTTTCAAAGGAAAACAAGACACAAAGAAATTCACAATGCACAACCAAATGTCGTTCTGAAGCATTAATCTGTATAATAAAAACATTAATAAATTTTAGCAGTTTGAAAAATGTGAAACATATGTGACACTTAGGTCTCCAAATTATTTATTTCAGGGGCCTGTTTTCCACTTGTGCTTATTTCCTGCTATGAAAATTGCATCACAACAATTTTCCCTTTCTTTAGTGCTTTTAAGAGGATCAGTGAGACACTGTCCTCTATATCTGTTTGGACTGGTGCTGTGTAATGTATGTTGTAGTCTGTATGAGGATTCGTTTTCAGAAAGCTCTTCTCAGACAGCCACTCAGTGAGTTGTGATATTAGTAAAATAGTTCCAGTGTTGATGAGCATAATGGCAGTGCGAAAAGAAAACAGGTGATATTGGTGGCCGTCCTCCTGGATGTTGTCCCATGGCAGAGGCAGGACGTCAGGTAGGCCTATCAGAGGTTCCCCACCCAGAGTTCTTAGCAATACACCCAACACAAAGCCACAACAGGCACAGTACCGGGTCACCCAGCAGGGTAAGAAGAATATACATATCACCTGGGGGGGGGACTCATTGAATACAAGACGTCTGCATTGACGATCCAGAACAGATGAACGGAACTTGTCATAGCAAGGCCTGCTCCCATCAGTCCACACAGGATGACTGAAACCTTAACCACCACAACAATCCATTTTTTTGATGCCTAAAATTTAGATTTATGGATGTTTATGGGTGACATTGGGAATAGATATAGAAGCTGTAGCAGCAATGCATATGAAGACTCTTGATTTGACACAACAGAGCTGCAACATTTTTCAATTTGCCCATTATGAAAAATTACCATACCCCCAAACCATACCACAAATACTGGTCATGTTAAAAACTGATACCCCCCTGTTTGTAAATCACACTCTTGAAGATATTACAGCCTAGGTAAGAGGAAGCAGACTAAGTGCAGAGTCAACTGATGACATCACAACGGCAGCAAGCGCTCCTATGTAAATCAGTGACCTGTAGAAGGGACAAAGATGCCGAAGGGCATTTGGCAAGATCATGCCAGCTTTGCCCTCTTCGTATGAGCTGGGTGAACCATACGTGGTCTGGTTCCAATCTGAAAACATATATGATTAAAATAAATGTAATCTAATTTATTCAACACCATTTTCTGTGTTCTGTTTCTACACAATTAAAGAGTTCAAGCATAGACTGATTTCAACTGCTTACAGCTGTTACTGTTGACTAGGCTTGCTCAGGCTGACAGCGATGCTAAAGACAATGAGAAGAAAGAAATGAGTAGGTATTGGTAGATGCCGCCACTGCCCCAATGATGAGCGATGGGATGCCAAGAATGGACGTCGCCCGGATCAACAAGGTCTGTGTCAGGTGTCGAGGGACCAGGGCTTCATGTCAGTATCAAAGTCAAGGATGAGACAACGAACATCCACGAATACATCAGGAAGATGGCCCCAACCAACCGTGTACTCAGTGAAACCCAAGAACCATCATGGAAGCCCCTACACGGTATGTACCACCGGTAGATAGAGGAAGTGGCTGACATCCAAAAATCCTACCAATGGCTGGACAAAGCTGGACTGAAAGACACTAATCATGGCAGCACAGGAGCAAGCTGTCATATGCTCTCATATCACAGTGCTGTCTGCCTGTTTTTACTCTCTCTATATCTTATATACTGCCTTATTTTCGACTAGAAATGCAGCCAACAAGATTTAAACTCAAAAACTAATTTTTAAGATTAATGGTTCCTTTGCAAAATTCTGTTTTTGACCAGCAAGTTCCAAGTTAAGCTCAAACTCTATTTGTCTGTTTATTGTTTTATTGCGTACCTCTAAATATAATATAATTCCAAACTACTCCCAGGATTTAGAAACTTAAAAGACCAACTGCTAGAGTTTCCCGTGTTTCCCATTCCTGCTGAAAATAAGCAGCAGCTTCTCTAACAAAGATGTTACCTGGATGACAGCATATGTCATTCATTATTAATGGTGCCTTAATGGATGTGCTAATTGGCCTTGCCATGTGCAACTTCATACCATCACAAATGTGGTGAAGCATTCACACGAGACAGATTCGTCTCATCTTTAGCCAGTGGAATATACAGTCGCAGCCATGAACTCCAAAAAGGATTTTATCAGGAGTTGAAAGAAATGATGATGTTTTCATGAAAAATACTGGAAGGAACTGTTTTGCTTACAGATTTATAAGACTGTTTATTTTTATTTACCTTTGTGGTCTTTAGAAGATGTTGAGCAGGGTGTGAAATTTGGTGTGAAATTGACACCTGACAGCACCTGGCACCTCCTACGCATTCTGCTTATTTCCAGAAACTGGGCTACACGACCATTACATAAAGACAGACACACGAATACATGTCATACTTAACATAACCATGGTAAGTGTAGTTGGTATGATCAATGTTGTTTATGCAAGAACTCCAACCAAAAAGCAGCCTTATATGTTAATATTTCTTGATATAATTTCAAGTAGATGGGCGTTAAATGCAGTATAAATAATTAATAGGTACGCCTTTACTGCTTCCACAGGAATTAAGAGGATAAGTAGCAGCCAGGTGCTGTTAATTGATTAACTGATCACCAGGAGGTTTGAAACCACAAGTGTTGGTCTCCCAGACTGCTAAACATCAAGTTTACCTTTGACCTCCAGCTATCACTGGCTGATGGAAATAACACTTTGACCCACTAGATGATATTCAGTCAATAAACCAACAGTCTATTTGCTCTGCCTTTGATAAAGGATTGCGGGATACCACATGAAAGTGTCTTGCAATGGACAGAAATGCACTGCCCACTTTTATTAGCTAATGCTGAACAAAAGAGTGACTGAGAAGAGCTCAGCATGGTAAGAGGGTGGGAAATTATAAAATCCTTTTTAGTAGCATCACTTTATCTTTGGAATATTTCCAGAGATATTTAAAGTCAATAAAAATAAATTTGTTTTGCC